TGCACATCCTTCTAGTTGCTGTATGTGGGACACCGCCTCAGCATGGCCGGACAAGCGGTGCGTCGGTGTGTGCCCAGGATCTGAACCCAGGCTGCCAGTAGTGGAGCATGCACACTTAACCGCTAAGCCATGGGCTAGCCCCTAGGCTCTTTTAAATTTGCTTTGCTGGAACTCTTTATAAGGAATATCAGATTGAAATTAAAAGGCCTCTTGAGGCCAGGAAAGCCAAGCCAAGGACTTTTGTCATCAGACTTCACCTGCAATACCTACAGATTTGGGTGAATTCTTCTCTTCTTGAGGTTTTCCCAAAATATTTCGAGGTCCCTTGTATCTGCCAGATAAGTGACGTTCTTTACTTATCCAGTAAGTGCTGCTTGGAACATAAGTTACCAGGTGAATATTTCCAAGTGGCTTTATTCCATAAAGTTCAATCTTTATTCCTCAAAAACTGTACGGTTATATCGCAAATATGATGTTCCAGTCACAGCCTCGGTAATATAACCAATGTTTCCAGTTGTGTCCTATTATAAGGAGAACAGATTCTTATTGGAATTGATACTGGCTCAAGACAAGGTTGACATAAGGGAAGCCATATTGTAGAAAAGAAGCCCTATTGTAACCTTGAATGACCTCTGACAAACTAACCCAGCTGGATATTCACTCTCCAGGAGATCTAACTGCTCTCTAGATTTTATGACCCCTGCCTGTGCATATACCTCCCAGCTGCAATAAGAGGATAACTTTGTATTTTGAGTTCCTTAGGAATGTGATGACCCCCAAACAGAGAATCTATGCTGATAGCCATCATCAGTGAAAACTGAAAGATCTGGTGTGGCACTCCCAGTCTGTAACACCAGAAGGTCAACATTCCTAACCCCCTCACCAATAACTCATAGGCCTATATAACTGCCGTAGATTTGTGCCCCCTTAAGATGGTTCTTTTGGACATGAGTCAGCCATCTTCCTTCTTGCTAGCAAGCTGTAATTAAAAAAAAGTCCTATTTCTCCTACCACATTACCTCTTGACTATTGGCATGTCTTGCAGCCAGCAGAAGGCTCCACGTTGGGCAGTAACAATTTGGCGACCCAGATGGGATGTTAAGTCCTGCTTGTGGCAAGCCAACCTCAGACAGATGGCCTGTTGGGTAAGTCCCTAACGGCTGCCAAGGCTCTGTTTGTCTCGGGGGATCTGCCCTACTTGCTCTCCTGTGCCAACACCGGCTGCCTCCTAACGCTGATGTGGTAGAAAGAGAAATGGCTACATCTGGTGGGTTGACGGGCTCACATCTGGAGTAGAGTAAGTCACCTCAGGGGTCCACCACCGAGAACTTTACTTCTCCTCCATCTGGTGCCCCCTCTTTGAGAAGGGGGACCATCTGGTTAATAGGGTGCCCTGCCAGAGTGGGAAGAAGAATAGGACTTCATGCAGAATCTAGGAACAAGTGTCTAGTTTGTCTGTGTCTATAAAGAGCTCCAAGATCAGACGTCTTGTGGGTTTGGGTGAGTGACCTTGTTAAAATGTGTGTGTACCTAAAATTGTCTAATATCTTGTCAGGATTGTGGGTTAGAGGCACCACTGGTGAGATTTGGTTGCTGGGTTCAAGTCCCAAGGCTAGGATTGTGGGAGACGATATAAAGGTTACAGCCGCTGAGGCACTAAAAAGGATCGGGTGAGTCCTGAACTCTGGGGTAGCGTCCCAGAGTACCCTGGGTTAGAGTCTCAGAGATTAGCTTTCTGTGTCTGTTCATGTCTGTCTATGTTTGACTGTGTTATTTGTTAAAGTTGGCTGCTTGGGGACTGAGTTTCTTGGTGACCATGACAAACTGCCTTTTAGACTAATCTTATGGGAGTCTTCTGACTCCAAAGAAGAGAGGCACTGTTCCCTCTAGTCCTTTGAGACATTCCCAGGTGACTGGGGACTTTACAGAGGTGTTGGGGTGTCTGCCTATGACGTGCAATGGCCTCATAGGGACCCCTCCTGAAGAACATATCTTACTGGGCTGTCATTGTTCGTGGTGAGGCAATTGACAGCGGCAGCTCGTCCGGGGCTTAAATCACCTGAACTTTGTGGGTACCGGGACACATAAGGGAAAGAGTTGACCTCTTGATTATTCTTGGGGGAGCTGCTCCCACTAGCTCACTATCAGACTTTGTTGCGGCCACCTTGATAGAAGCCCCCCTAAAAGGGAGATAACTGTAAAAAGCTGGCAAGATATCCTGGGATAATTTAAAATTACAGTGGCCACTTTGGGCTCTTTTTGAGCCTCCAAACCAAGGAACAAGGAAAAATCTTTAATCTTTAAAGAGTCAAGGGCTCCACCTTTTGACCAAAAGTTTCCAAAAGTTGTAAATATTTACAGAGAACAGCAGAATCTTACCAAGCTTTTTTTGTGTCCTGAGGGCTTGCCTTGATAATTGTCAGGTTGTGGGGGGGAGTCCCAAAATACGGTCAGATGAAAATAGGGTGCACCTCATTTTGTGGTCAGAGATAGTCAGACAGAAATGCGGGTTGCACTCCTGTTTGTGGCTAAGAGTCCCACCAAACTGTCGTCAGCCTCAGGGGAATTACATTGGCTATTTGAAGAAAGCCTTGGCTGGGCCTTCATTGTAAGGGTCTTGATTTTAGGAATGCCTTAAATTTTCGTGATCTGATTCTAGCGACAGCATAAAGATACTTTTGATCAACAGTGTCTAAATTCTGAAACAATGGGAAACACTAATTCGATCCCCACCTGAAATGCCTTATGCTGCATTCTCCTGAATTGGGCGACTTTCAGCTACAGGTAAGCAGTAGGAGCTACTGCATATTCATTGGTTTATTGATCCTTCTCCTCCCAGAGACGGTTGCTATTTTCTCTTGTTTCTGTTTTTTTGTGTCATTTGTCATAAAGGAAAACCCATAGAGCAAGATGCAGGCAGCTCCACAAGACTCTTGTCTGGGCAGGCCCGCAGTAGCTTTGCTGTAGGGCCCCGCCTATGGAGTATGCGCACGAGGTGGAAGCTATTGCTAACAGGGCATCTTGGAAGCCAAAAGAGCCACAATATTGGTGGGTGCAGGTCAAGCAGTTAAAAGCCATTAGGGTGCTTACCACCTCCAGAAGTCTCACATGAAAGGATAAGTTGGGTCACAGAATGGGGTAGATGACACAGGTCCCGTGCCAACTTCAAGAAAATGTCTGTGCAATGACAAGACACTCTGTAAAGCACACACAGTCCCCAACCCCGTGGCACCTCAACTCTAGGTATTAGTCTGGCTCAAAGAGACCCAAAGCATAGCTAAAGCTGTTAATGTGCATAACAGATGAGGTTTTTTCCTCTTTTTGTCTTGTTCTATGTCTTGAGAACTTGGCTTTGTTATCTCTTTGGTCATAAGGAGTCCCAGTCCATCAGGGACCTTTGTTGTCTGAATCTTTGTTCTTTGTTGGTGCACTACCGACTGTGCAGTGAAGGCCTTTGCTTTCTTGGGCTGTTTTTTTTTTTGGAGTGAACTTTCTGGATCTTGTGAGGGCTACTCCTTTTGCACTCTCTTTTGGGGATGCCTTATGTCCACAGTTAAGCCATAAATGCTTGTAGATATTGGGATATTAAAAACTGACAAGGCAGATATCCCCCAGAAACTCCATCTTGGGGAAAACTCAAGTGGCTTCTCTGTACCTTTATGATGTAATTGGACTGGTAGATCAACCTAGAATGTCTTTTCAGTTACAACCCAATTTCTGAGAAATTAAGAGCAATTGTCATTAAAAAAATCCTTGTAAGACTGGAAAAGCAGCTCCAGAGGCAGTTCAGAGTCCACCCAGTTCCTTTATCTCAAAAAGGATTATCGTCTCGCCCCGCTCTGGGAAGTGTTATCTAGCTCATCATCAATTCCTAAGACTGAAGAAAGAAAGAAAGAAAAAAAAAAAGTAAAATTGCCAAAAAATGGCCATAGGAGCACGCCTGGCCAAAATCTAGCATCTCGAGTGTCTTCCCCACAAATATTGGTAAAAAAGGCTTAAAACAAAAATTTATATTCATAATTGAGGCACCTTGTACCTGATTCATGGCAGTAATAGCTGTGCAGTCTCTGTGTATGTGTGTCTGTTACCTATGTGTGATATTTTACCTCCGGATGGTATGGTCAAAATTAAGAGCTCTATTTAATTGACTTAAAGTAAGCACTTGCAAAAATTATTTCTAAATGCAGTTAACCCAACAGTCCTTTAAGTTAACATGATATAAATTAATCTTTGGTAAATTAAAGCTGGTTTAAGTTTGTTCATCTGATTGACAATTGTTGAAAACAAATGATTTAGATAGATAAAAATAAGTAAGAGTTTTGGGGTACAATAATTATGTTTTGTGGTCTGTATACTTGGGAAAAACAGCTTCCAAAATTCCTTTTGGTATCTTAAAACTTGAGAGTTTTTGATAAAATTTCATTGAGTATCTGGGTCATTTTCAAATAAGGTAAAATACTGAAACATTATTGCTAAACATATCTAAATTTATCTACTTTTGGCTTATTACAGAAAACTAGAAGGTATTTTGGGTCTATTAGTAAACATGTCTTGTGTTTTATTAAAAGATTGTACTATAAAGTAACATGTTTCCAGAAATTATGAAAAGTGTTGGCAATAATTTGCCAAGAAATAAATTTGCCAAGCCACAGAATGCTGATGTAAAAGAAAGTTTATATCTGCTTACTTAGTTTTCACTTAGAAGTCAAAGTCCATAAAGGTTAAAAAAAAATTCTAATTAATATATGTGATTAAAGTTACTAAAAATTAATAAGGAAAGCAGCTCTGAATTCAAAGAAAGTAAGATATGTATAGTAAAGAAGATAAAATGAATGGAAATATTTTTATTGATGTTTTAATAGTTTATAATGTGAAATTTTGGGTTGTACATTTTTGTTTGTCCATTATCACGTCTCCCTTCACCCCTTGTGCCCACCCCCCGCCCCCATTGCCGCTGGTAACCACAATACAATCTTCTCTGTCCATGTGTTGATTTATATTCCACATATGAGTGAGATCATATAGTGTTTGTCTTTTTCTTTTTTTTTTTTTTTTAGTGAGGAAGATCACCCTGAGCTAACATCCGTGCCAATCCTCCTCTTTTTGCTGAGGAAGACGGGCTCTGAGCTAACATCCATTGCCTAATCCTCCTCCTTTTTTTTTTTCCTCCTAAAGCCCCCCAGTAGATAGCTGTACATCATAGTTGCACATCCTTCTAGCTGCTGTATGTGGGACAGGGCCTCAGCATGGCCGGAGAAGTGGTGTGTCGGTGCGCGCCCAGGTCCGAACCCGGGCCGCCAGCAGCAGAGCGTGCACACTCAACCACCAAGCCACAGGGCCGGGCCCAGTGTTTGTCTTTTTCTTTCTGGCTTATTTCACTTAACATAATACCCTCCAGGCCCATCCATGTTGCTGCAAATGGGACGATTTTGCCTTTTTTTATGGTTGAGTAGTATTTTGTTGTATGTATATACCACATCTTCTTGATCCAATCATCAGTCGAGAACACTTAGGTTGCTTCCACTTCTTGGCTATAGTGAATAACGCTGCAATGAACATAGGGGTGCATAAGCCTCTTTGGATTGTTGATTTCAGGTTCATTGGATAGATTCCCAGTAGTGGGATAGCTGGATCATAGGGCATCTCTATTTTTAATTCTTTGAGGAGTCTCCATATAGTTTT